AAAATAAGTGGAGCTCAAGGAATTTTGAGGGCAGTGAAACTCTTCTGTATGACACAGTAATAATGGACACGTGTCAAACCCCACAGAGCGAACCACAGCACGAACTGTGGACTTTAGTCAATCATAATTAACCAACATTAGTTCATCAGTTATAATAAACATGCCATATTACCATAAGACGTAAAGAATACGCCAGGGGAGGGGAAAGGGGGAGGAGGGTATATGGAAATTCTCTGTACTTTCCAATCAACTTCACTGTAAACCTAAAACTGCTTTTGAAAAGGTATATTAAATACACACACACACACACACACACACACACACACACACACACCCTAACAGGTTAGGTAATTCACCCAAGGCCAAACAGCTAAGTATGGAGGAGGGAGGATTTGAACCCAGGGTTGCTGACTTAAAAGTCCAGGCTCTCCATGGCTGCAGCCCCACAGGGCAGGCCTATTCACCTTTCTATCACCTTCCATGTCAACGCCAGCTGCAGCACCCGTATAGCTGCAAATTGTACCTCAAAGGGCCAAGCTCAATATTTTGGTTGGTATCAGGAAAGCATAGGCACAGAATGAGTCTAGGAACATTAGGGAGGAAAAGAACCCCCCAGAACAGTGCCAGGGCTGGTGGGGGTGGGAGGCCGACCTTTGGCAGCATGCTAAGGCCCTGGGGAAGGGGGCAAGCATGCAGATGGAGAGACACCCCCCTTCTCCTCAGCCATGGCTGCCCTCACTGGGCCTCAACCCCAGCCTAGCCCTGGGATGATGGTCTGAGGCTGAGCTCAAACACCAAGAGATCTGAGTGACCGCCCCAAGCCTCTAGCCTCAGTTTTCCCATCTTTATCATGGGAGGATTTGAACACCCTCGGCTGATCTCCAAGGGCCTTTCTAGCACTCAATTTCTAAAACCCTTTAGCTACCCACTCTCTCCTCACCCCCAATAGCAAAGTAGAGAGGGAACTGCTCAAGGAAAAGGGAAGGCCAATCCCTGATCTCTCCCTGGTCTGACTGCGGAAGAGCCCCCTCCACTCCCATGGCTAATCACTGGGCATCCTGATGGTCACCCTCCTGGGATGCAGTTCAAAACTTGGATGAAAGTGGCAGGAAGGCCTATAACAAGGTTAGGTGCCTGGTCATCCTGAGCACCAGGCGTGAGCTCTGGCCTTGCCCAGGCGTCCACCATTTTTGACAGGGGTCAAGGTGTTAGGTGCATTGTAGCCTGGATGACTCACAAACAGTGATGACCCCAAACATCCCTTACGGTAAAACCCCAGGCATGAAAGGTGCAGGGTCGTGGTGACTTGTTTCCACAGCGCTCTGGGATCACGGCCTTGGAGCAGGACCAGGCCTTTCTGTGGTCCTTCCTCACTGCTTCATCCATCCCTGCTCCCGAGCCAGGTGTGCCTATGAAACCACCTTAGGCCTGGAGCCCCTCCACCTATCCTCAGTGCCTTGCAAACTCTTGCTCATATCAGCTCAGGTAGCCCCTCCTCCAGGAAGCCCCTCCTGACTTGTCACGGTCCCTTATGGATCCCACAACTCTGTGTTTCCTGACTACAGTGTAGGGGCTTCCGGGAGAGGGTGGGATCTACACAGAATTCAGAAATGAGGAAAGATTTGCAGCACAAAGGAGAGAAGGAGGGAGACCGCACAATGGAAGCCTGGGTGGCAGGGAGGGCAGTGACTGGGGCTTCTCCCAGGGTAGAGGCACCCCACGCAGCTCACTCACTGGATCGTTTCCAAAACAAAACAACCAAACCCAAACCTACAAAAGGAATCTCTGGCCCCAGGGTGAGGGCTGGAAATGGGAGAGACAGAAAAGATTCTGAAAAACGCCCAGCCAGTGAAATGTGGAACCCACCCATCCCTGGTCCTGCTATTGCTCTCCAGCCCCAGCCTCCTGCAGGTTGCTTTTCCAGGGTGCTCACAATTCAGTCTATTTTCCATTGCATAGTCTCATTCAATAGCTTGAATGGAGAGATCATGGCTGCCACCATCTCACTGTGCAGCCTTGGGGAAGTCCACCTCTCTGTACCTCAGAGAAAGTCCTAGATTCTAATAGAATCTGTAGAGAAGGTAACCAGACCTAGGGGCAGGAAGGAAGTCTAAGTTACAGAGGCAGCTGCCAGTGAGGAAAGGCTCGGCGAGGTGCCTGGAAGGAAGCAGGGTAAGAAGCCTTGAGGGGAAGACCAGGTGGGGCCTGTGGCACCCAGGCCCTGCAAGCCTGCTCATTCTCTGGGGAAATGTTACTCAGTGGGCAAGGCTGGGGCTCAGCCAGAGCCTCAAAGAATCAATCACAGCATAATTAGGGTCACTATTAATCTCTTTCCATGATGATGCCATGGCATCCTGTTTACCCAACACTTCTGTCCCAAGAGTCCTCTGATTGCCATTCCTCTCGGGAGGAGGCTGGCAGGACCCAGAGACGAAGGTAGACTAGTTCTTCTGCAGCTCAGGAGCCTGCCTGGGGGCCTCCAGCTCTCTTGGCACAGAAAGGATTTCTCTTTCCCAGGTCAGGGCTATGAGCTTGAGCTGAGTAGTCACCAAAAGTGACCTGGCCTCTGCCCCCAGAGGGCAGAGCTTAGCATCTCATAGCTCAAAATCTCAGGCTGTAAATGCCCCAAATTGGAGCTCTAGAATCACTTCACCCAAGACTCACAGAGTCATGGAATCCTCATTGAACAATTCAACTAGCATCTTCAAACTATCCCTGGATTTCAGACTGCTAAGTCACAAAACATCGGCACCAAAGTCCTGGAGGCATTCCATCCAGCCACCCCTTCCATTCAGCAATCCCCTGTGCCGCTCCTACTCCTGGTTCTCCAGCCTCTCCAGACCGGCCAGTGGCTTCCCTAGGCTTGCATACTTCTAGTGACAGGCCCCTCTCTCCCTGGAGGGCTGAGTGATTCTCACCAAGCCATCAGGACTGTAGGAAAGCCATTCTAAGAAGAGATCCTGCCTCCATCCCCTTCTCTCCCACTGACACTGACAGGTGATCTGGGAAAAGGCAGAGCCAGCAAAGGGCCCCAGGACTACTACTCGATGGTAGTGGAGACTTCCAGCATCCCTCACCCTCAGTTTGACTTGTGCAGTCCCCTTCCAGGAGCCCAGGGATTCAGCCCCAGGGGCAATGCTGGCTTCTTCTGATGGCTCTTCCTCAGTCCCAGGGATGGGGGAGTGGGAGAATGGAGCACACCAAGTCAATGAAGGAGGGAGGAGGAGGAGGAGGAATGTGATTTTAGGAGAGGCTTGTACACAGCAATCTTGTCTCTGTCTTCCCCTGCCCATCCTTGCACCACGGTGCTCCAAGGACACCACCTACCCAGCTTTCCCACCTCCAGGCCTTCGCTCAGGTTGGGCCCTCCACCAGGCAAGCCCTCCCCAAATCCCAATCCAAATCCCATGCATCTTAACAAACAGACCCTGTGCAAAGCTTGGGCTAATTCCCCCCAACAAAAGCCCACTGCCTCCTCCCTTTGTGCTCACATCATCTGGCAGCGCTCCTGAGAATGATCACAGGCCTCAGTGTGCTGTAATTATCTGCTTCCGTGGCTGCCTCTCCTGCCAGACTGAGAGCTTCTCCAAGTTCAGACTTCTGATCCACTTGGCCAAGCTTTTCTGAAGACCTATAGTGTCTGCATCCCACACCTGGTGATGGGGACACAAGATACGCCAGGCCCTGTCCTTGCTAGAAGAGTCACTGTATAGGGGACCTATGTCCCCTGCATTGGGCTGGGCACCAAGGAGGTACCTATTTAGTTGTCAGTCAAAAAGCTGGTTAAATGCAAGAAAGAAGAAAAGAAAGAACCAATCAAAGCCTCTTACACCACAGAAATGCAGAGCCACTTCTGAGCCGGGTCTGAATTCTATCTCTGAATAATAATTAGCCTTTTCCCAATTTACAGGAAAAAAAAGTTACAAAAAAAAACAAAACACTCAAGTAGGTACTTTTCTCTCACAAGTTTTTCTTAAACCTCTGATATCCACTTGCACGTTTCTGTACCAGATCTAGTGTAAGATGACCTCAGATCTAACACAAGATACTGATTTCATCATTGTCACGAACATCGCCACTCTTCACAGTCTTCTGCAAAGAGCAGCAGTCTCTGCTTCCAGGCACATCTAAGAACCTGGAGGCTAAACTTTTCCTCCCTTCCTTCAAATGTCCAAGTTTCCCCTTGGTAACCTATGAAAACTGACCGTGCTCAAATGCTGAGGAAGAAAGTCTCAGGTGTTGATTGGCCTTCCTTGAAAGTTCATGCCAGTTCCATGATACAAGGCCTCCAAATCCACTATTTGTCACTCATTCCTTTGGAGGAAGCATCACTTTCTCTAGGATTCTCTTTTAAAATACAAATCTTCTCTGGAGTTGGGAGCCCACTCAACCCTCAGATGGGAGGTCAAGGAAACTTAGTTTACTGCTGGGCTCTTAAGAGGCAGTAAATCATAGGGGTTGTGAAGAGGTCAGTCTGCCTGGGTTTTTATTATTTTAAATTTTTTTTTTAGAGACATAGTCTTACTCTGTCACCCAGGCTGGAGTGTAGTGGCACAATCATAGCTCACTGCAGCTTGAACTCCTGGGCTCAAGTGATCTTCCTGCCTCAGCCTCCCAAGTAGCTGAGACTACAGGTGTATGCCACCGTGCCCGGCTACCTGCCTGGGTTTGAAACCTAGCTTTACCATGTATTTAATGGGGCAAGTTTCTAAATGCCTGTATGCCTCAGCTTCCTTACCTATAAAGCGGGAATAACCATGGCATCAGCCTCAGGGGCTCTCAGACAAGTACCTGGAACGCTGTACTAAGCAAGAGACAACTCTACTCAGAGCTTCAGTTGCTTCCTGTCCATAAAATGGGATAATAATCCCACTTATGCCTTTTTCATAAACTGTAGAGTGCTGCCCCCATGGGAGAGGTGGACATTGTGTAAGAACCCAGTGATCTGCCCTCTGCAGCCTGCCTCTAACTCCTTTCTCCATCCCTCCTTTTCTCTTTACCTGGAAGAAGGTACCAGTGGCTGTGAGCTGGGCTCCAGGGGGTGTCCTGTCCACGGAGGTGGTGATATCACTTCACGGGGAGAGCTGAGGGGACAAGGAGATAAACCCAGTGAGCTCATTCATCAGTCCACCCTGCCTTCTACCATCCCACTTAACCCTTAGTGAGTTCCCATCCTCCTCCCTCCCTGTGCTGGGTGTGAGACGCACAGGACAGGTGACACCAAATCCCTGTCCTGGGAGGTCACAAAGCTGGTGGGTGGGCTGGCAGGACATACATGATCTAATCCCCAGCCACGAAACCCGGCACATGCAATCTACCTCCACGCATGCTGCCCACAAACCAGCCCCAGGCCCAGACAACCTGTTCCCTGAACCACTCCTTCGCTCTCCAGGACCCACAGACCCAGGATCCAAAGTCCAGCCACCCTGGGGGCAGAGGCCCTTTCACACTGCCCAGGGACCTGCTTCTCTGAAGTAGCTGCCAAACCAGCTGTTCTTCTAAAGCAGTGGCTAAGGGAAGGTTGGTAGCCCGGAGGTGGGATCTGGGGCACCACAATTACGTGCCTGAGCTCTGACTCATGCACCACCTCCCCCACCGCCAGCTCCTGCAGCCAGCAGGGCACCCTCCCCCGCCCAGGAACTGGGAGAAGAGATGGTACTGACAGGCCACAGGGAGTAGAGGGGCCAGGAGAGGTGAGGAGGAGACTGCAGGTCAGCATTGCAGGCTTCAGAGGAGCTAACACCTTGTCTACTAGGGGACACCAAGGCTGCAGGGATGGAAGCCTACCTACATCACACAGAGGCAGGGCCAGGGCTGGGACCTGAGCCTCCTGGTGCTAATATAACAACTTTCCCCAACCCAACTGGATTCTAGAGCCATACACCGGCAAGAAACACACAGCCAAACATATGCCTCTGTGTGTGAACCAGGGGTGGACAGAGCTGGACTCAGAGACAGCTTAGAAATGACAGCCACTGAGAGACCAGCACTTGGGACACTCCGAGGCCTACCCCTCTGTACCTCCAGTCCCCAGGTTTCTCACAGTGCCCCAAATGTACAGCACTTTACAGTTTATAAAATATACTTATTTCCTCTACCTCCTACAATGACCCTAAGGGCTAAGTGGCAGAGGAAATATAAATAGACCAATGGCTTCTCCTTTCAACTTTGATGTTTGAGAAGCCATTGGTCTATTTATATTTCCTGGGGCCTGAGACCTTGGAAACCTAGGGAACTTGTTAAAATGCAGTCTGACTTGGTAAGTCTAGGTAGGCTAAGGCCTGAGATTCTACATTTCTGATAAGCTCCCAGGTGATGCTGATGCTGCAGGTCCCTGGACCACAATTTGAGTAGCAAGCCCAGAAGGAGTTAAGAACATGGGACCTGGAGTTGAACTACACAAGTAAGAATCTTGTCTCTTACTGTGTGACCTGGGCAAATTACTTAACCTCTTTGTACCCCAATCTCCTTACGTATAAAATACTACTACTAATAAAACCTACCCCATAGGGTCAATGTGAGGATTAAATTAGCTACCATATGTAAAACACTTGAAGTGATTATTATTTTAGATTTTAAAACAGAGGTTCTGAGAGGTGAACACGCCCAGCAAAGTGGCAGAGCCAGAATTCAAGCTCAAACCGCCAAGCTGCACAAAATGTCACAGCCATAAACCCCTCCCCACGTCAGACAGGCAGGGGTACTGAGGCCCAGAGAGGGGCAGAAAACCAAAATGACCACCAGAAAGTTGGTGTGAGAAATACATGTCCATGACTCCATCCCAGGGCTCCTTCCACCATACCTTACTGTCTGTCAGAAAGGAAAGTACCATGGCGTCTCCCCAGGGCTCAGCTCTGCTGTCAGCCTCACCCGGGCCCACAGCTGCCCTGGAAACTATGTGTGGGGTTGGCTGGATGTGGAGGCTGCCCCCATTCCCACTCTGTCCTCTCTGGAGCCCCTGCCCACAAGGCTGGGTGAGGCAGAATGGTCTCACATCCTCCTGCCATTCCCCACCTCCTACCTCCAGCCTGTGCCCACTGCCCTGTGTCAGGTCACCCAGCTGGGTTCACAGGCAGAGGGTGACACAACCGGGTCTGGCTCCACCCCCACCTTGCCTTCCCAGCATGGGGCCAGTGGGAGCCTGTGAGTCACCTGAAGGAAGTGCTTGGCCCCAAACAGGAAGCCGCTCTTCAAGCAGAACTCCCCCCTCCCTCCTCCCACCCCTTAAGATCCCCCAGCGCCCTGGGGCAGATGGCTGGGTAGTGGAAGCTGGTGAAGGAAGGGAAGCTGATTGGGACACAGCAACATCTACTCAGATTTTACCTGACATTTAAACTTGGCATTTGCTGTCTGCTTTTTGCTGCCTGGCCTGAGCACTTTTCTGCTATGGACTGGTTGTGTGTCTTAGACACATCAGTGCCCTCTTTGATCCTCACCAAAAGGATCATGGGCTGCACTAAAAGACTGCTATGGCCTGGTAGTCTAAATGAAATGAAGGATTGGAGCAAGTGAATATAGGGTTTTATTTTATTTTATTTTATTTCAAGTGATTCTCCTGTCTCAGCCTCCCAGGTAGCTGAGAATACAGGCACGTACCACCCCAGCTAACTTTTGTATTTTTAGTAGAGACGGGGTTTCACCATGTTGGCTAGGCTGGTCTCCAACTCCTGACCTCAGGTGATCTGCCCACCTTGGCCTCCAAAGTTATGGGATTACAAGCGTGAGCCACAGCACCCGGCAAATGTAGAGTTTTAAATGAATGAACACATGCACATGAGTGAAATGAATGAGTGAATTAAGATACCTAGACATAAAACTCTAGCTACAGCATAAGAGCTATAATTTGTCTATTGTTCATTGTATGATAGAGAACTCTTTACTGGCAAGAAGACCCACCCCCAAACACCCTTGGACAGGGAAAAGGGGCCCCCACACATCACACACACACACACACACACACACACACTCACAAATCAATTCATTAGCGTACACAGGAGCCTCTGTCACGTTACACTCATGTGACCTGTAATCCTAAACATTCGCTCCTGACTAACACCACTAAGGCCCCAGTGAAACTCTTCTCTGTTTCTTTTTTTTTTTAAGGCATGAGGTAGGGACTGGGTCTCACCATGTTGCCCAGGCTGGAGTCCAGTGGCTATTCCTAGGCATGATCATGGCATACCACCACCTCGAACTCCCAGACCCAAGCAGCCCTCCCACCTCAGCTTCCCCGAGTAGCTGGTATTACAGGCATGGTACCAGACCAAGCCTCTCCTTTTCCTCAACTTGAAGAACAAAAGGTGGTTTTGTTAAGATGCTGTGAAGGTCTATGGTTTGTGTTGCTGCTGAGGGTGGAGATGGATGCTGCTTCGGGGAGGGGTGTAGCAGGAGGGGCCCGAGTGGCAAAAATATATAAGGGGAGACAAGTTAGCTTGTCAAAGCCTTCCTCCCAGACAGCAGCCAGCACCAGCTTCTTGCATAAGCAAGCATCTCTATTCCAGTCCTGCTGCACATCCTTTATTTTGGAATTTCTTCCTGCTCCAATTTGTGGTTCTAAAAGTACTCATGAATTAGTGTGATATTCACAAAAATGCATGTGGTGGCTGGAGAACATATTACAACATTCAGCAACTCACATTACTCAAACTAATGTGATGCGAAGTCTGGTATTAATTCTTTAACTTTGCAAGTAGATGGACATGGAATGCTAAAACTGAGTAGTTTCATTTCTATAAAATCTTCAAAAATTGAATTAATATTTCATCTCTTTAAATACTTTATTTTAAAACTGATCTTCAATAACTGTGATGGGTAGTGTTTTAATTTTGACAGATAATTTTATGGAATAAAAACACTTTTGAAAACATAAAATAAATTTTCCTGTGTTTACATTTACATTTGTTTACTTTTTTCTTTTTTGAGACAGAGTCGCACTCTGTCACCCAGGCCCGGGTGAGGCTGACAGCAAAGCTAAGCAGTGCAGTTGCTTGGTTCACTGCAGATCTTGGTTCACTGCAACCTCTGCCTCCCAGGTTCAAGTTATTTTCCTGGGTCAGCTTCCCAAGTAGCTGGGATTACAGGCATTGCCACCACACCTAACACATTTTTGTATTTTTAGAAGAGATGGGGTTTCACCATGTTGGCCAGGCTGATCTCCAACTCCTGACCTCAAATGATCTGCCTGCCTCAGCCTCCCAAAGTGCTGGTATTACAGGCATGAGCCACTGTGCCCAGACACAGTTCAATTTTATTTATCCCATAAAATGTATTTTATTATTTTTATTTTAGCAAGATTACTAATTATATTGCTATAAGCAAGATTTTTATCACTTGTGTTCTATTGATGGCAATAATCTAAAGGATTAAAAATAAAATGTGATTATATTTAACGTATATAAAATTTGACGGCCAGATGTAGTGGCTCATGCTTATAATTCCAGCACTTTGGGGAGGCTGAGGTAGGGAGATTGCCAGAGGTCAGGAGTTTGAGACCATCCTGGCCAACATGGCAAACCCTGTCTCTCTACTAAACATACAAAAGATTAGCTGAACGTGGTGGCATGCACCTGTAATCCCAGTTATTCAGGAGACTGAGGCAGGAGAATCACTTGAATCCAGGAGGCAGAGGTTGCAGTGAGCTGAGATAATGCCACTGCACTCCAGCCTGGGCAACAGAGTAAAACTCCATCTCAATAATAACAACAACAAATGTTATATATTTTAAATGCCACACACACACACACACACACACACACACACACACATATATATATGTATATATATATATAGAGAGAGAGAGAGAGTATATACACATATATGTATAATTTGAGTGTATATTCAATATAATCCCAGCTACTCAGCCTCCTAAGGCAGGAGAATCACCTGAACTTGGGAAGCAGAGGTTGCAGTGAGCTGAGATCGTGCCACTGCACTCCATCTTGGGTGACAGAGTGAGAATCTGTCTCAAAAAAAGGAAAAAAATAATTGTAAGTCTTATTATTTTTCTGAACTAATCATCAGCTAAATATGATAGTTGATAATAATTTATCAACTAACCATCATCAGCCTAACAACAAAATACCCA